GAGCTCGCACTCACCTTCGCTGGAAAAGAAACCTGAGCGCTGAGGCGAGCCACTCCGTCTCCCACTCCGCAACAGGCCCCTCCCCTGGCGACGGCTGCCAGCCCGGGATTCGGAGGCGAATCGCCTTCTCCTCGTCGAGAGCTCGGCGGCGGGTGTGGGCGTAAGTCCGGATTAGGGCTCGGCGCGCCTCGTTGTAGATCGTGTCAACTCGCACGTCCGGCGTGTCGTCCGGCGCGAGGAGGGCGTTCCGGTGGCGCCGTCGTACGATGCCTGCAAGTGTCTCAAGCATAATAACGCGAGTCGGCGTCGCCCCAATGCGCCCCTCAGCCATTTGTCCTCTGCCCGTGGTCAGACGGAACCCGGTGATGCAGAGGCGGCGGTATTCGTGGACTAGCTGCTCCCTCCCCATGCCCCGTACCTCCTCTAGCACGGCTTCATCCAGGGTCGTGCTTTCCAGGACTGCGCGGAGTACCGCCTCGAGGGTCAGTGTGGTGTATGGACATTCGAGGGCGAGGTGGCGTGTCGTTTCGATTGCTCTCACGCCGCCCAGTAGGCCGCACAGGTCGCACAGTCCCCGTCGACGTGGCTTCTTACATCTTCGCGGTCCAACCGGTAGCGCATCTGTCAACACTGAGTACGCCGTGTCTGACGTCGGCCGTGATAGGGACCTGTCGTGGATAGAGCGGAAGACAGACCGCGCTATCTTTCGTTCATCAGAGGCTGCGCTCTCGCCATTCCCCTCTCCCCCCCCGTCGCCGTCGCCATCGTCACTGTCGCCCTCGCCGTCACTTGGCTCATCTCTGCCTCCGTCCCCACCTACGTCGCTGCCGTCGGAGGGGCCCACTGCGGCGGTAAAGGCGTCTAGGAGTGGGCCAGCGACTGCCATTGAGAGCGAGGCTGCTCTCAATCCTAGCGGTCTAGAAAAGAAGGTTGACTCGCGCTGCTTTTAAATATACCAAAAGCAGGGCTACACGAGGCCCTCTACGCTGGGGCGCCGGCGCCCTACTGGGCGCCCCCCGCTCCCTTCCCCTTAGAACCCCCCATCCCGCTAGCCCCCCCCCCCCGCGGTCCCTCGCGGTCGCGCGACGCCGCACCAATGGCGCGCTGTGCCTCGTCCGCGAGCGCCGTCCAGAGCTGCACCGACAGTCGCTGCAGCGCAAACGGCATCCATTCGCGCGCCGACCACGACGTCTGGTCGTACTGCCTCCACGTGAGCTTCCGGCCCGCCACCTTAGCCACCCGCATCAGCAGCTCCTCCACCCCCGCGCTCATTGCGCCGA